TCAAGATGTCTGGAATATTTACGCAATCTTAAACCACTGCCTCGAGTACGCTTTGAATCGCCGAACCTCCGGAGTCGGAACAGATCAATCGTAGCGAAGCTTTTGACAAGCGACTAGTCGCCTACAATTATGTAAACGACTTCTTTGAAATGTTCGGCTGTGCCGATGCGTTTCTTAAATACTATCGTGAGAATCAAGTAATACACCCAGAGCAATACACTCAAAGCAGCTGAGATTACAGGGTAAACCCGTTGCATGAGGAAAGGCTGTCACTGCAATAGTCTGTTGGCATTGGCCGTAACCAATAAACAACCGGGATATGTTGCTGATATAAGCGAAGAGGCAACTTCCAGGAAGCAGTTCAGAAGTCGAAGATGCGATCGATGGAACAAGAAGTTTATTGGCCTGCCTCTGCTTTGAACCCATCGCCAAGGACAATAGCAGATAAAGATGGCAAATGCACTGCGCAATGGCTTTCATTTCCTATATTTTAGTACAGACATTTTGTCTTGATGGGAAAATCAATCACCAGCAGCAATTTTGATGACAGCAAATCTAGTAGTTGCGTTGTCATCAAGCTAACATCTAACACGGATAATGAAACCGTGTCAATTAATGGCTTGGAAGCGGACTGCCGAGTCATTATCATATGAATCACGACCCCAAGCGATGATCACGGGGGGCATTTGTCGCCCTATTCGCCCTATTTCAAGGAACTTAAAGGGGGTACCGGCGTTGGTGGCAGCGGTGGTGATGGTGGTGACGGTGACGATGATGATGAAGAGGATGAGGATGTTTGATTAACACTATGTTTCAGTATGATGACAGCCGTGGCGGAGATAGTGAGGACGTTTGCTACACTTGCTCTTGATTTTGCTATCACTATGGTTCAAGCCGTCTCTTTTTTGTTGCATAGATCACTACAAGGCACACAACATTTTAGAATATTCTTCAGCCTACTCCACAAGCATCCTCAAAGGCTTCCGCTCGTTGCAACCGTCGCATACACCCCACTTTTTCGGCATGCGCAGCAACAACGCTAATAGCCGCAGCAGTGGCGGTGGCGGTGGATTTAGAGGCATTGCTGTCATAGCTTCGACCAGGCACTTGCCAAGATAGCTGCGCACAAACATCGAGCGCTTAAGTGTCACTTAAGTTCCCGAACCCACACGCTCCCCGCCTCCCCCCTTCCCCACCTCGGCATACTACGAGATCGGCAGAATTCACGCCAGTTTACGTTCGCATACAAGACGCGATCAGATGTGGGAAAGAGATCAAAGCCGCTTTCAAACTGCTTCTCAGTCTCCACATCGCAACGAAAAGTATACTCGGGAAGTCATACACCAGCCTTTAGGATCTGAAATTTAAAGCACCGATACGAACGCTCCCAGGTGCCGCTGAGTGACTAGGTAAAGCGTGAAAGCCTGAGGATCAATGATAGTTGGATCTCATATGCAAACTT